GTACATTAAATATAAAAATGGAACACTGAATTTGTGTGCCACCTTTAGTAATAAGTATACAATAGCAGAAAATGCCATTTAAGAAGAAAGGGATTACTGGGGGGTGTTTCATAAAGCTGTTCGTAAGTTACGCACGACTTTACGCACGACTGGTGATATGTTCTTGTGCTACATGTAAATGATTGAGAATCTGATTAGCACCCAAGAACATGTTCCAGTCGTGCGTTAAGTCGTGCGTAAAGTCGTGCGTAACTTACGAACATCTTTATGAAACACCCCCCCGGTATATTATCAAATGTGTACTTACATGTAGTTCCCTAATTTGTTTATATGCACATGTACATGTAGCTTGGGAAGAAATAAATTAACTGATATTAAACTTAAGTCAATGTTCCAATGTACACTGTATTAATAACATCATCAAAAGACCTACCGATACATGTATATCTTCAGTTATCAAGATTCACATAACAAAAAGGAAATGACTACCTACATGTCTTTGAAGTAATTGCTACATTTTTTCAAAAATCATCATTTTGTGAGAGTATAATTTTCTAAGAGCACAATTTCTAAAGCACAACACCTAAAAGGATAAGACTTGTGCATTCGTGCCAAACCTCTTGCTAAACCTAAGCGCCATGAGCACCGAAAGGTGGACCTGTGCGCTATACAAGTAGCCACTACTATTATTATTATTATTATTATTATTATTATTATTATTATTATTACAATGATTACACTCTATAATACCTGCCTCAAATCATTTTGTATTTCACCCAAAAATATATTTTTAAAACTTCAGGCTTAACAAAAGAGCTGAAAAATTACTCTTCTGATGCTTCCATTTACAATATCTCCTGCAAAACACATCAGAATACTTTAAAAGGTCAAATGCCACGAAATATAAACAAATTTTATATGATATCTGTAACAATCATAAACAGTGTAACAAGAAATCAAATGGCAAAGAGTAAACTGCTGATTATAACACTTTAGAACCTTTACAATAAGGTCAATTATTCCCTATCATTACCTGTCTCTAACCAACCAACCAACTCATCAAATTGATCACAATGTCATTAAACTATCACCATTTCAGTTGGGAGAGAAAATATTTAAATGGCGTGACATAGCACCTTTCCTCAGTGGCTGAGGAGTAGAATGATTCGATCAAATTCAATCAATCGTCTCCGTTTCTTTCCCCTGCTCCCTCCACAAGCCCTTAGTGTAAAGCATGGCGGTGTATGGCCATGGGTGTCTCGCTCGGGCATGCCAAATAAAGACACTAGCTAGTAGCCTGCATGTTAGGAGTACTGTGTGGGCTGCAGATGAGCGGATACGTGAGCTGCAGTAAGAAACGCTAGACTGTGTCCTTTGCATACACTATGAGTATGCCTGCAGGAAGCAGGAGGGGAGTATGTATATCAGATAAGTTAGTGTACATCTATATTACTTGAATTTTTTGTGTGGAATATAAAATAAACATACTGAGGAGGGTGATGTCTTGAATTAATAAACTGACAACAGACACATGATCTATCGTATATATGACATTAATATATATACATGTATCAGACATTATCTGTGCAACTAACATGGTCAAATTTCATATTCAGCAACTTTTATGGTTGAGCAGATTTTCATAGCTGTACCAGACAAAATAGCAATCACTTAGTTTACAAATGTAAGTCTATTCTTGGCGAGATCACAATGTCAATATGTCGAGGATTACACAGTGATGATGAAAACGAAACAAAATATAGCCATCAGTATAGGACAGTTAATATCTGAATACATTTGTAGAATGTTCACACAGCAATCAAATTACTCATATTACTTCCTCAATTATGACCTAATCGGAGGCTTATATATATACTATTGATCCATTTATTTGATTGACGTTGTTCGGGATCATAACTGTATTTCCGCAAATAATCAAATCTCCCCACCATCTTCTTTTCTCATCCTGCTTTGAACGACATACTGATTTATAGAGATGATATCTCAATTTCATAAAACATGAACAATTTGGCTGGAGATGTACCCCGAGATACCGAGAGGAAATTCAAGATCATAGGAAAATTATACAGGTAGGGGGATGTATCATCCCTCTCGACATATTCATCTTCCCCCATTTCGCCCCCTCATAATGCAGATATCTATCATCTTTTTGTTTGCCCCCCAACCCCTGAATCTTGATTGACTGACGGAGAGGGTATCGGGTGACCGTTGTATTCTCCTAAGAGCCGTATTACTGATGGACAATCTCTAACTTTTACACATGCTCAATCATCTCTCCGCAAAACAGATGGGACTAGCTCGCCCCACTTCAACAGAGGCTTTTCTTGCAGTGGTTCGTTCGTTCGTTCGGTCTGATCTTTGTGTTGTGATAGTGATCGCTGAAATACAATATGTGGCATAAATAGGAGACTATTTCTGGAGGTTTGTCCCCAGACACAGGATATGTGCTTATGATGTAATATATCAAAGCTATGAATGTCTCATCAAATACGAGCATGATTAAAGGGGAAAGATCACCACATTTTGGTTACCTTTGTATGTTTGATATTCTATGATAATATCCTCCACTTTTTATTTGCAACAACATATTGCATGTTTGAATGCTAAAATTGCTTTCTAAATACAGGTAAAAGTAACATGTGGATAGACTTTAATATCATCATGGGTGTACAATATTTGGCCTGTATAGCAATAACTTCTGTGCATCCACAGCCATCAATATTTGTTTGCGTTAATACTCTTTAATCATTAATCTTTAATCATTTGACTACCGGTACATGTTTTATGATCTATTTTTCAGGGGTGCTTAGTACCATTTAATGGGAATATCGATGTCCAAAGGTCAATGTATGCGGATATTTACATTTGATATTTCTATTTATTAGAAGTGTCATATTCTACTATTCATTTCCTCTCAAGATGGCAATATGAATACCTGTAATCAAGATTTTATCTGTGTGTTCAGGTTCAGAACAAATATATGCTTACATGTACATGTACATGTGTTCGTTGCAGAGGAAATGGGAATATGTCTTTGGCAAAAAATAATTTTCTATGAAGTCAATATTTTGTCAGATCAGTAACAACTGGCCTATATGTACAATTCTTAAGTTTTATTTCATAGCAAAACAAAAAAATTAATTATACTTTTTCTTTATACATGTACACCGACTGAGACTAGCTTGGAAAAGTAACCACAAATTAATAATCAGATCATTTCGACCTGGTTGTTTTGTGAAATTGCAGACTCGTAGCATTTTTGTACCAAGTAGACTTCACTTGGCTGCTACAGCTAAAAAGGAGTTGTTTATGTATATAAGGAATAGTATGGTTCCCTCCAGTCCTGATATGAACCAGTGATGCAATCAGGTTATCAATCTACGTTCATATTGTATTGATTTCTACGCTACCCACCATACACTAGAAGTGGAAACAACTGTTATCAAAACAAAATGCTCAAGAGGAAATAAATATACTACACCGGGGCAGTTCACAATATCAATGAGATTCAAACTTTGATATTTGAATTGGGTTTCCTATCACTTCTGTTCTTCAGGCATCCGCTGAAAATTGACATAACTCAGATCAATAACATTGTCTCATATCAAACATATCACATGCAGAGCAGTCACAAGTCGCGCATGCCCACTACTCACACCAAAAAAATCAGAATGAGCGAACACAGACAGATTTCAATGGGGTTTTCCAGTAGTGTAAATATCAGTCCCCCCCAAAAATGATGATTTTTCTAAATGGTGTTAATGGGCCAAATGTCAACAAGAATTTAAATCAAGTTCCCCTGGTGGAATGTGGATACGAACGTGATATAATTGTGTTTTTAATGGTTTAATTCATCTAAACCCATAAATGGTGGACAATATTCTAATTGGAAACTCTATACATTGTAGAGGTGTTGTGGCGTAGTGGATAAGTCGTCGGACTGTGAATTACAGGGTCCGACGAGTCCCGCCGCGGCACTAATGTCCTTTGGCAAGACATTTATCTACACTTGCCACTCTCCACCCAGGTGTTAAATGGGTACCGGTAGGAAGGAATTCCTTGAAATGCTGTGAGCGTCGAAATCGGCAGCCTAGCATAGCCGGGTAATGTTGGAGCGCCTTGAGGACCTTGCAAGGTCGATACGTGCGCTATATACATGTAAGAATCCAATATTGTTATACAAAGCTCTTGGTACAAAATGAAACACTCTGTCACATCCTGAGGGAACAACAAACACTGATATGACCCATCAGTCATCATATAACGCATATTAATCTTTTCTTACCAACATGTAACTAGACTAGCGTACATGGTAAACTATACCTGAGTATGCAACTTTCTTGTTTGTGAATAATAAGGACCTTTAAATGTGAAGGCTGTGAAGGTGACAAATAGGCCAAGAGCACATTAATTTGATATCCACATGGACTTCTGTCAACGATTTGATAAGGGTCGATACAACTGGAACACAAACATACTTGAGTGTGATGGTGTCATGTTATGGATGTTAGCTATACCATACAATAATATGCAAGTGTTTTCAGGGGTGAACACAACTTCTACATGTACAATAAAAACTGGATTGAGAATGAAACAACTTACAAAGTTATCACATTTAATTCTATTAACTTGTACAAGACACGCCCAGGTGTCAATTAATACATGTAACAATCGTTTCATGTAATTACCTGTATCTTGCAAATTGTTGGTAGTAAAATGATAATTACCATTATTATCTTTAATTTCTTACAAATATGTTTAAACTGAAATAATCCATGTAATTCAGCTAACCATACATCTAAATGAGTATGGGTTATTGGCAATGCCCACAAAGCAACTCACAATGAAAACACAAAAAATGATCCTGAACAATATCCTGAACATAACAATGAACAAAACCAAATAAACCACACAGACACACAACACACAAAAGAAGAATAAATAGAAATAGAAATAGAAACCGTTTGCTAATAACATACCTGTGTCCGGATCTTCATAAAGGGCTGCTACCTTGGCAACAAACGGTAGGTCTCGTTTCCTTAAGTCTGCTCTCAATAAGACACAGTCTCTGGCCTTTATGACATCATCTTTCCTCCTGATGGACTCGTAGCAATAACGGACTTCTTGGATGCTCTCATTCTGATGGTCAGAACAAACAAGAAAACAGAGAAAATAATCAAAGTTATCAACTGTCCATTTCATGCATTTCACTGTGAAAGTTCATTCAACGGTTTCAAGATGATAAAATAATTGTTATGGAGGGTCATAGAGTATTTCTGTTATATCATTAATTTGTTGAATGAATTTATCTTGGGCTGGTGTCTATGTACAATAAGAGTAATGCCAATTTGTCACCAACAGGTTAGTCAAGTCAACAGTCCTTATCAATGTAATTATATTTGATTTGGAAGATGCTGCATAAATGTTTACATGTACATCAACATTGAAAGTTCAACATTCAATTGAAAAGAATCATTGAGGAAGGAAAAATTGTTTGTATATCATTCAATCTTACTTCATTTATGTTGATGGTCTAACTTTTTTTCTTCTTTTAATAACAAACCTCAGAAAGAAGTATTTGCAAGCAATAAAAACTAGACATGTCAACTACACGTTTACATTGTAGGCTCTCTCCCAAATATGATGGCCTATACTTCTCAGGGAAATATAAAAATTTGAGCATATAAAGCACACTACTGCTGCAAAATTTAGAGTTTTTAAACGTATTCTTATATTTTAAGATACAGTGTGCTTTATATGCTCAAATGTTATTACATGAGAAGTTATCAGCCAATCAAACTGTATTCATGCACATCATCATATACCTAAAAGGTTTGATATGAACACTCTGTAACACTCTACACATGCATGTGTGTCCATGCCAGCTGGAATGCTATTGCTACCGGTACTGGTACTCAATCACATGTAGTTTCAATTTAACAAGAAAGCTGTAAATACAATATGGCTTTTAAACTTGGCCTTTGATCTCTATACTGGGTAAAGCTACATGTAGTCTTAATGATTAGACCTTGTGTTACATGCATACTCTCTTCAAGTCTCTTGACAGCACATCCAGTGTAGAACTCTTTGTATTCTCATTTGTTGAACATTACAGGCTTACATTAACTCTGTTCACATGATGTCATTAAATTGAGAGTTGTTAGATATGAATTTATTAATGGAGAAATACGATATTCCACAATATCAGCTCCAAAGCTTGCATGCACCTTATATTTTATTTTCCGCTGATTAAACCCACCTGCATGCTTAAACCCACCTGCATGCTTAAGGACGACCCCAAAAAAAAATATCAAGAGGCTAAAATAGCACACAATTTCATTTTTTAATAAAAATTGTATAATAATAAAAATAATACATAACATTTATTAGGCGCTTAATACTGATGTTTCTAAGCGCACAGTGTTCTGATTAAGAAAATGTTGATAGAAGAAATGTAGTTTCCGTTGTGGTACTTGCCAGTCACTTATAAAACTATTCATAAAGTACCCCTGTATTGAAAGGACACATTGATTATTTTACATTAGGAGATCTTTAATAGAGCCTGCCAATACAGACTAAGAATCGTTATAGTGATCTGAGTGTTTAGAGTATTGACACTCAACTTATCACTTGGCATATTACAAATGACAGCTTGACTGGGCTTAATGCCACATAAAATTCGTAGGGTTGCATTTCATACATATTGCATGGGATTCACAATCTAAGACAAAAAGGAGCAATTGTCTGGAGTGAGATGCACGTATAGATGATGGAGAAAAGGAGGAGTAAATATTTGAAACTCGACGCAGAAGGAGGGGCTCGATTGCAAACAAAGAGATTACAGTGTATAATGGTACAAATAATCTGCTCCTGATTAACTATCATGGTAGTTCTTCATTTTCCTGAACCATGTAATTTGGAATTACTTGTACACGTACACGTATATTCATGTATTACAGCTACATATGCTGAAAATAAATCACTTTTATTAGACTAACAGAAAGCAGAAAAGGGGGTTTTAATACCGGTATCAAGAAATCACCTACCACCCTATACAGTGCGTCCCAGAAAAAATGAAACCGAGAATTATTGATGTTTTATCATAACTTAATCACAATTGAGATTAATAAATGACACATATTTGTAAAGCTTACCTGTAGATCCTCCTCTTTCATTTGATACAACTCATATGATGCATATTTCACATATGAGTGATTTAAAACAATTTGAAGAGAGGAAACCTAAAATTCATTTGGCGGGCGGTATCTGAATTTCAAAGAGAAAATGACATTTCTAGAAAGTTCAATTTCTGCCCATTCAGATGACATCTCAATCAGGAAAATGAGCCAGGAATAACAAAGTTCTGTTTGTTTAAAGTAATGCTTGCATTTCCATAATTTGATTAAACAAGTTCATTTTCACTGGCTGCCTGCTGTAGCAACAAACAGAGTTGACTAAAGACTTAACTCCTTTTTGTTGATAATCAGCCATGCACAACAAAGACGAAATGTAAGACTTGATGCATAAAACATCGATAATTCTCGGTTTTGATTTTTCTGGGACGCACTGTATTGTCTATTCCTTTGAAATTTAAATACAGGATGAATCAAACAGTTTCTCTGTACAAAATGAAATCAACAACTGAATTCTTCTTAATAAAAGCTTATCAATCAGCTATTTTTCAACGATGGAAGACCTCTAGATGTTTTGTTTTATGTTTGTTTACTTTTGCTTTAAAACAGAAGAGAATGCTCTACATGTATTTCAGATGAGTAGGCCTATTCTATTTTATCCAACTCTTATCAAAACATGAAGTCATTTATGTATTTTTTAATGTTTCAATTCTGAAACTCCTTTCCTTTCATGAAGCCTTTCAACCAGACATTTAACATAAGCATCCCAAGAATTCCCAACTATTAGAGCACAACTGAAATCAACCCCTATCCTGTTCCTCAGAATAAGTTTATCATCTTGATCTCTACACACCCAGAAACCTGGGATTTTGAGGATTGAAATACTGTAGAGGAGCTCTTTGATATAGAGTTTTGGAAAGCACAAAGATCCACTTGCCATGTTTCTCTGATTCTATTGGTGATATGTGAGAAATATCAGGCTCTCCTGAAGTGCTTTATATTCTAAAGTGGAATATCTACTTAAATAAGAAGGGGTAAATTAATATCACAGGCTCATCCTAGTTGGAATTTTGTTTTTCTATATTTCAGTTATCCCTTTCAAATCTTCTCAGTGGTTTGCAAATACACTGGAAATGATTTCTTACAGTTTTCTAGTTTCATAAGAGTATACATAGGATCAGCCATGACACTTCTTAGTACTGTAATATATGCAATCACTGACATTCCATAATTAAAAACTGATACGTATATATATGAGTTGTGTACAAAACATTGGCAGAGCACAAATTTCCACTCCTATCGAGTAATAAAATAAATACTAATAACAACATTTGTAATGCGCACATATCCAACCCAAGATATGCTCAAGGCGCCTAACAAGGTAAATACATTAAACATAAGAAAGTACATGAGAAGTTACAGAGAACAAAAATAATTCATGTACGGTATGTAATATACAACTTGTATATTTGAGATTGTAAAAAAAAATGTTTTGAACCAAGGCAAGATTTTCTTACATTAATGATAACAGGTTTCTGTGTTGGGTTGCCTTCCCCTCTCCATCCATTGGTTGATTTCCGCCGATGAAAAGGTTTGAGACCTGGTCGCTTCACCACCTTCCGAACTACTTTTGACTTGGAGGTGATAAACTCTGTGATGGTAGTTCCACTGGTTCCATTAGACTGGGGAACTGTCGCTAATGTACCATTGTTTGGTGTGCCATTAGATGCATGCAAGTTTCCTGTGATAAATAAAAGGAAAAGAGTCATTTGTCAACCTGCAATTCCGTAATTTATCTGATTATTGTGAGATAGGGAATGCAGAAGGAGAAAGGTAGAGCAGATTAGAATTACTTTCTACATTTTAAAATAAAAGTACTAAATGATAAAGATGTGTCCAAAAGAATAACAACAAATTACAAACACACAAAACTCCATGAACAATCAACAACTATCAATGGGAACGAATGCTGAAAGTGAATTAAGTGAGCTCAATAAAGAATTCAATGATAAAAACAAGAAGGGTACAATGGGGAATCCAAGATTTAGAAAGTGTGGTAAAGGGAAAGCAAATAGACAGCACAACTAACTATTATTATCTAAAGAAACAGACAAAGAGGAAGATGAGGGGAAAGGGGGATATGAGAAGGAAAGGAGAGGGAAGAGGAGAGGGAAGTGGACAGAGATGAGAGAGAAGAAGCAAGATAGATATTGGACGGATGCGATGGAGAAAAACAGACCAGTTCAGAATAAATCAGGAAAGGAAATCCATAGGAGAGCCAGAGGAAATTAGAGAAACAAGAATAGAGAACTCTGTCAGGAAATTGAAGACGAGTTGTTGAAGCTTCACCATTTGTCTATTTCAGTATGTGCCCCCATGATCCAGTTGAAGATTTGACACCGATAGCCAATATCAGTTCCCTATGAAAAAAACATCATTACACTGTTTCAACACGTTACCCTGACATAATAGTCCTTATTTAACCCTCTGATTTAGTTGAAAATGGGATGTTCAACAAGGGGCCTGTCGATAATTGTGTTATAAAACTTGTGACATATTCAACATCATAACTTCTGTGGCGTTTCTTGGACTTATTAAGGAATATTTTTTCAAGCTGAGTACCACTTGACATAAACAAGTGTCTTTAAGGTCTGTTTGATGAGGGTAGTGAGACGAGATCACGTCTTGGGTTTTGATGTAGCTGGCTGTGTGTAGTGCGTGAATATGCCTATTGTGATTGGGACACTTGCTCGCCCCTCTGCTAAAAACACTCACAATAAATTAAAAAATAATCAGTTTGCAGTTGTTTTTCGTTTTATTTAGATTTTATTTTTCACTCCATATGAGGCTCAAGTCTATTTTTTAAGGGTTTAAGGTCCAGTTACTATCCCATTCATCACAGTAGATTTATCTATCGCGTTCATCCACTTTTTTAGCTTCACCCAGCGTCAAGTCTGTGTGAGCCTTGGCCAGTGACTCATATTTGAACGGATCCATTATAGATCTAGGTGCCAACTACCGCGAATTGAGGCATTCATTACAATGTCATTATTAATTGAAAATACATGTATGTTGTAAGATGTAGATGTCCCAAAACAGTTAATCATTCCTTTTGTGAACATAACCGGGACATTGGACCCCCTAGATAATTATTGGTGGTCTATAGATTTTTTTTTCTTCTTGGGTATATGACTGTATGTTGACCTGAATGTTGAAATTTACTGATCCTCGTTTTGTAGACATGGGCCATATATTTGACCAGACATGTCAACAAAGAAATTTGTACTCAAGGACAGCACTGTATTTTGATACTCTCTATTGATCAATTTACTATCACAGTGGCCCACAGAAGCGAAAGCAATCGTCCCATGCCAAATACATGTTTTAAAAAATACATTATGCACAATGTCCAAATTATCAATTTTGCTTCTGGCAATCCTGAAACAAATTTGAGAAGCAACATCAAATAGTAGTGTGAACATGTAAAATAACAGACCTTCATTTCATGGCATGCATAATTTTCTTCTTTTCATCCTACAATGAAATCCACAGGATATTTTATTTCACAGATTAAACTAAATGCCTCTTTTATCCATCCTATGGGCCATTCCATGAGAAGAAGGACATGACATCAAAAAAAGAAATGTACCTCTTATGTTAATTCTTTGATTTATCACTAACCTTATGCCATGGATGTTCATAAAACATTAGGGCCTTTCAAATTCAATACAATTTTTTTCTTCATTTTTGTTGATTTCCTAAAGCTACAGTCCCATATACATCCCGGACCGTCCCGGACCATCCCGGACCCCATCCGGGGTGATCCGGGATTCGGTCCGTGTTGACACCGTGTAGGCACCGGGGTGGTCCTGGATGGTCCTGGATGGTCCTGGGCGGTCCGGGAGTCGACCCCGGATGTTTTTGACGGTCAAAAACTGCCGGGGTGGTCCGGGACGGTCCGGGACAATAGTTTGATCCGGGGTGATCCGTGTAGCCACCGTGCTGGGTCCGGGGTCATCCGTAGTGGCGCCGGGGCGGTCCGTGTTGATCCGTGGCAGTCCGGGAGTGAGTTATTGACCGCCCAGGACCATCCAGGACCATCCAGGACCACCCCGGTGCCAACACGGTGTCAACACGGACCGAATCCCGGATCACCCCGGATGGAGTCCGGGATGGTCCGGGACGTATATGGGACTGTAGCTTAAAAGCATCACACTTTTTTTAACAAAACATCCCGGACCATCCCGGACCATCCCGGATCACCCCAGACCATGGTCCGGAGTGGTCCGTGCTCGTCCGTGCTGGTCCGGCTTTATATGGGACTGGGGCTTTAGATCTCAAACTATCATCAAAAACGTACATGTGGGACTGTAGCTGAAAAAAAACAATTTATTGCAGATTACACAGGATTCTTGTAATATTTTTCCTGAAAATTTCGCTAAATGGAAAAAGATGAATATATTTCCATATTCTAAGGGGTCCTGTGATATTTAATCTATTACATAGGGGTGAAAATGGCCTCCGGACAAAATGTAACGCGAGTTACCGTAACGTGAGTTACCGACATATTTGCTTCCTGCATTTTACTAGTCCATTGTTTCTTATCTTTAATATTGTGATCTTATACTAGTAAGTCACAACCTACTATCAAATTAAAGTAGGAAAGATTTTGTCAAGATTGTCTAGTATGAGGAGAAAAGAGGGTCTCGTAGAATTGACCATGTCCTTTTTTTGTAACGCGAGTTACCGAAATTCAATAATCCAAGAATCTAAAAATGTTTGTTCTTCAATTTTCTTTTTTGTTTCATTCAGTTGTTCTATATCTACCCTGTCCATGTTTGAAAAAAGTATCTTGTAGATCCTAGCAGTTCTAAAGATATAGGCACATTATCGTGTCAATGTACCCATTAAGTGTAACGCGAGTTACCATGGAATGGCCCCTATGCTGATAAATAATAATGAACACGTATGGAGTCTTTTTGCTAATGATCAATAAACATTAGCAACATATATATATATACATATATATATACCTCAGGACTGAGAACATTTCCTCTAGTACATGTACACGTATGTCTGTGTAAACATGTTTATGTGTTGTAATGTATTACTGTCTGTCTTACAAGATCAATTTACATAATCTGAGCTCAAACACACATTACGACTCTAATACGTGCAAGATCCCCCTTCACATTGTATTTGCTCTCAAAATTGAATCCCCCTACAGAAGGCCGCTTTGTGCTGATTTAACACTTGGGAAACATGTTGACCCCCGACATTTGTCTGTGCTGCAGTACAAATTTCCACAATGTGTACAAACGTACATGTTTACATGTCTAAAAGTGAGAAGTATTAAAAGCATGATGTGTATCAAGATGGAATGAGCCTCCAGAGCTTTAGATGGTATCAAATGACTGATTGATTTATCCATAAGTATGGTATGATATATATGCATGATTTAACAATTTCTTTATCCCTTCTGTTATGGACTTTTGATGGAAAATATTTATGGTACATACATGTATGTACATATAAATAAACCTAGCTACTGGACATCTAGGGGGATTGAACAGTCTTTGTAATAATATTGAGATTTAGATTATATATAAATAAAGAGACTATGAACATTTTAAAGACCTAATGTGGATTTTTTTTAAATAAATAGTTTGCAAGAATTATACCATCTCCCCTTTATGCTTTTGCTGGTTTGGTTACCTATGGCCTCATCTTTATTCTTGAAACTGCAAAATAATTTGTTTTTCTTCAAAAATTGAAATTGACTGTACAAACAGCATAATGTCAGATAAAAGCCATACATTCTAAAGTTTCACATATAAAAGAGAGAAACTTTTTAACAGTCACTCTTAAAGAGATATACACTTTTGTTCAATGATGGCTGCTGTAACATAGCAGTGTGTGTACTTGTTCTATACATCCCTTCCCTGCATGAATACATGTCGCAGAGATGAGGCTAGCTATAACTCAGCTTGAAGCTAGACCACTCTGTCTGGCCATAAATAGCTTGCACAGGTGTCTGAAGCACTGATCTTTCTAATGAGCTCTATGAGTTATACACACCCCTGCATGGACAGAGCAGAGAGGTAAACAAGTAGAGTATACCTGCCTACTGATTTACAAGCTATCCACATTGGTACATAAGGTAAAGAAAGATCAACATATTATGAAAGACTCAGAAAAATTATATTTGCTTTGATGCCAGATTGCTTGTACATGTAATTTCCATCATGTATTCTAAAACCAGAACGATGAAATGATAAAAAGTTTTGTGGGTTTACTGTTTATGTTATTGTTTGAGTTAATGTCATGTGCATCCAAGGTCAAACATGAATTCTTTGATCTTGACAACAGCGGGACCTAACTCATATCCTGCCATAAGGCCGCATGCATGCATGCTACCGTTATAGTGCTTTGTACACGCAAGCGCGTTTTGAATGGCTGCTTAATTCACACGAGCGAGCCACAGCTTAGCTGCTTTAAGCATGCATGCTTGCAGTCGTAATACCAGTTATTGTTCATGCTCATTATACAGTGCTGAGTGCTTCGCACACGCTATTGATCGCATCATCAGATTATCTCAAAATATCTCAACTTGGCACAGGGGGGATTTGTGGCTTGGCACAATGGGGATTAACCCTGTGGCATTGGGCTGTATTCATTATGGCAGGATAAGAGTTAACGAGTGCATTTAATTTGACATAGTTGCACTTACCTGACTGAAGGATACCCAATTGAGTCAAAGGTAGTGAAAGCTGGCTGGCAATGGCGGTAGGTGCATCGATGGAATGTCTTGTAAATCTCAGCAGGAAAGCCCCTTTCAGTGATGCGTTCAGCTTTTCACACTCAGCAGCATCAACAGAAGCTCTTCTGGGCTGTCCAAGTAAAGGTGCTAGAGCGTTCAAAAGGGAATTGTCTCCAGCAGCAGGCTCTGAAATACTCCTCTGAGCCTGTGGACATGAGCATGTTAACTGTATCTGATTCCCTGCAGAATGTGGAACCAAGGTCTGTTCTGTAAGGGTTGGTGACAGAGTTGTACTGCTTGGGTTGATGCTTTTATTGTAAGATGAACTGTCAGGCTTCAGGTTGTTACCGTTACCAGACGAGGGTTCATCTGGAGCTATATTGCCTTGAGGTTTCATTGGTTTTCCACATCGAGTGCATGTTTGTACACTTGTTGTCCCTGTAGCAAGTTGTGGCGCGCATGAACTTGGAGATGTCACATCTTTTAGTCTCGCTTTCATGGCAGGTTTCTTGGATTCCTTTGCTTTTTCTTGCCCATTTGTCACGTTCATGCATTCTCCTGTAATTAATTTCCCCTTGGAATCATTTCCAACTTTAATTGCATCCTGTGAAACTTTGAAATCTGTAGAAATTGATTCCCTTGTCAACAAACCATCTCCCTGGGCATTGCTTACACTTGGACTTGTCTTGGCTTTCTTTGGAGCGGACACTTTTGCAGGCATTTTCTCAATAAACTCATCTCTTTCATATAACATATGCACCTTCGTCTCTGCTGTCAGACTGGCTACCCGCCTTACCCTTGGAGCGCGTGGAGGAAGTGTGTCTGCAAACTTGAACCTGCGTTTCTTAGGTTTTCCATCTTCGGGCGAGCTAAGACCTTCGCGTCCTGCCATGCTTCCATCATCAGTGAATGAATCCTCTGTGCAACTGCTCATTACAGATTCACTTTCTACACTCTCTGATACAGATCCTTTTCGTTTCCTCTTGCTATCAACACCTGAATCACCTGAGCCAAGAGTATGTTTCCTAATAACTTCCTTTGGCTTGCCACCCCCTCTGGGTGATGTTCTTCCTGTAGCTTGTTTAGGTTTACCCATATCTCCTGCTGCTGCGTTATTCTTTATCCCAGCTGTCCTATTGAAGGCAACCTCACTATCAACCTTCTCAAATCGTTCTTCATCAATTTCATTAGGTTCCAAGACATTGTCATCAAATACAGAATCATTTGAGATACTGTGAGAAAAGCTTGGTCTCTTCTGTTCACCGTTAGAGGCGGTACTGCTTTGAAGACGTCCATTCTGCTGCACTTTTGCACTGCTTGGAGAAACACTGTTGGCTTGTCTGTCCACATTGTGAGTGTCTTTGTGGTTATTCTGTGCTTTAGAGTTTGGTAATGCCTTCCAAGCAATGGGAGCGGGGAGTTCTGAAGAGTTTGACATTTTAGGGGACACTCTGGGGGACACTTTTCTGTGACCTATATTGTGGGAATGCTTGTAGCTATCAGGAGACATCTCAGACCAACTTGATCTCCTCTTTTCAAAAGATTCATCGCCAACATTCTTTTCATTCTGGTTCCAGTCAACAGTTAGCAGATCTTTATTTGACCGCACATTATTCATGTTGCATATATCTTTTGGACTTAGTTTCTTCTTTTTCGGTGAGGTCATTGGCACTGTTACGTCATTGAAAATCTCTGCACCGTCAATGTCTAGCTTTCTCTTGCGATGATTGGAGGCTGGAATGTTCTTTGAAGGTTTCACCGTGAGTCTGGAGTCTGACAGGCATTGTCTTCCTGGAGAAACACTGTTCATCTTGGCATTGGCCAGATCAATGTCCACATTCAGAGAATGCATATTGTTGTTGTTTGAACGATTTGTCGTACATGTAGGAGATAGTCTTTTCTTCCCTGAGGGACCCATTATCTGTGGTGTTGGCATTGTACTATCCTGTCTAGGTGACGTAGACAGTTTGCCATTCTGGGGACTGGACTGGTCTTCGGCATACACTTTTGATGAGTTACTGCTCTTCAGATTCTGTATGTTAAAAAAGCAAAAGAAAGAACATAATGTACACCTCAGTTCACTCTTAAAATATGAATCATTATGAACAATATCTGAAGAAACATAACACAGATAATTTAGTGTTTTTTTAGAACTTGACAAAATTGATGAATCTGCAATATGAAAAAAAAAACAGCCCATGTAAATGTAGTAACACCATAGAACTACAAAAGCACTTGTGTAAATCAAAGGCACCACTTTAGTATGTACATGTACATGTGTATAATATTCAAACATTCATCTATTGAAAACATTGTAAAAAGGTACTCGTACATGTAGGCATGTATATGGGAGGTGTTATTCACAAACTTTCAAATTTGTACTTAGACAAGCATGATGGAAGAACTTGTATTTATAAAGTGAGTTTGATTCTGTGCCAATTCCTTCACCAGAGTTCAAAGAGAGATATGCAGCTGACTCAGTACATGTAATACCAGACATCGCAGAAGTGACAGGAAGCGTAATCTAGCTACTTCCATTCCAGCACTTGCAACATACACTGTACCACTACATGCATCTTCGCCATGGGTGATGACATAATCTATACAATGGGAATTTCCCCATCTCTAATTCAGTTTGGCCACAGTGATATGACTTCAGCAAACTCAAGCATTGAAATTATACAGGTGTTGTGGTCCAGTGGATAAGGTACAGTGTACGTTGTACCATAACGAGGTACAGGGTTAAAATCCATGTCACAATGTTAATTGATGTCCTTTAGCAAAGCATCAATCTACACTTGACACACTCAACCCAAATGACGCAAATGTACATGGGTAATAGCAGGAATTAAAGAGGTGGGAAGTTTCAGTACCGTCATAAAGGCAGCTACATGTACAGTGTATATAAACATGTAGGCTGCGCAAGATTACTACTCCAAAGCTCTTGGAAGTGCACAGAGACATGTGAAATAGGCTAGTATACAACAAGGCTTTGGAGTGAAGCCAAAGCAACAAGGAACCAAGGACAGAGTGGATCTAGAGCTATTAAAAGCTGGTATCAAAACTGCACTTTAGCCAATTAAATCTTAAAGAGACGGTTGAGTTCTCGGAAAAGGTGAAAAGTAATTTGTGAGCTCTATCATTGTTATTATGCAAATGTGGAAAAACATCAGATAAACCATGTTCCCTGAAAAGCATGGCTCTTCATATGCCTTCATATTAAAAATATGGCGTGTAACATCGTAAAAATCGGGACAGATTTTTCGCCTCGTGTTCATGTAGTCCCATATACATCTTTCTGTGTATAGAGCTTGTAACTTTACCAAGACTTGGCCAAATTTCTTATCATTTTGATGATTCCAGAACCTTGCAATACACACAAATACTTATATGCTAGATGATCAACCTTTTCTGATCAATTCTACACCGTTTCTTTCACAATGCAATCGCACGACCAGAACTCAACTTCATCTTTAAAAGGATATGCACCTTAACCATGTTCAGAGTATTTAAACAAAAAGTGGAAAAATTACATTTTCTGGTAAGTTCATAACTGTACCTACAAAAGACTGACAAATCAATTCTACATATACATGTCAAAGTTACAATGTGAATATTGACTGGCATTCAAGGGAAAGCCCAATTGTAGAACTGAACAGAAGCAGTTGGAATTGTAACAAACATCCATGAATGATCAGTTCAGATCTAGTAGCTACTGGACAAAAACTCACTTCGCTTTACTTGCCCCTTTAATAAAAGCTTGTTTACTGTTGCTATTGTGTGATACTACTGTTGTATGCATGGATTCATTTGGTTTCTGTTTATTCAATAAACCTCCTTTCACAGATATACATCTCACAAAATCCTTGTTCATGCTTTATCTCAACATGTGATGTCATTATCAGGCAGATCTCAAGGAAAATACCTAAAAATTCAAACTTCATAAAATGTAGGCCTGTTCTAAATGTACCCTAAGTACTAGCTAGTAAGTTCAAGTATAAAAATACATGTACATGTATTTGTAATAGCTCTGATGTCAATATATGGTCAATATATTATCACCTATTTATATAGGTTTAAAGACACAATATGTGTACGTAACCTCACTGCAAACTTATTTACAAATTAACCTTTGAAGAATGAGTAACATTTCTAGATCCTCACATCTGAAACCTCATTTTACACAAACAGCAATATCTATAAAGCATGCTGTCTTTACTCAGTTGTCTGTGCAATACCATGAGGCCTTTTGTGCAAGAAATAAAGAAATTATATGCTGAAAACGATAAGTTAAAATGGGAACCAGTTTCTATTGAAGGTTTCATTTAGAATGCATCAACACTTACAATAGAAAAAAAGAAAGAAATGTAATGTGAGGAAGGTATACTCGAATAGAGCTTAGTCAGCTTACCAAGGAGATGTGATTGATTTATTGGATTTAAACCTATTGTACAGATTAGTGTCACAGATGGGTGAATACTGTGGATCACTAGACAATTCACAGCTTTGATATACCTCACTAATTCAGCCACATAAAGTGGATGATCCATTGGGAAACTTATTAGCTATCATTAGTACCATCTCACCATCTCTCTGTGTCAAACCAGACAAAACAATGTTGTATAGATCTGTGTGTGACATGCAGCCTTTTCACACACAGCTAAAATTCTATAAACATGATTAGTATAAACGTGTTTAAACTAATCACCTGAACATACAACATCATTCACAAACAGAAATTTCGGTGCGATCGTTAATCGTTTCGTGATTAACTACTGCTCGTAAAATGTGCAGTAGTGCCATTGCGCATTGAAGGTCATGTCGTATCAATCAAAGCGCATGCTCCATCCAGTTTAAACACGTCTGAAACACGTTTAAACACGAATAACCTTTCACACACAAAATGTCAAGCTCTCTAGATACGAACTTCGTATCTGCAGCCTGCTTTTAGGGGCGTATGAATCGCGACTTTGTATCTATCCCAACATCGTATAGACGATGTTCACACAGGGAAAATTTTCTATAAACATGTTTAAAACTTGAGTTAAACACGTTTATACTAATCATCTCTAGTTATAGAAAAGTCTGTAAGATGAGAGTGAATCAGATCGAGTCAAGTCTAGTTAGGAAAATCAAATTATTGTGGTGCTAGCAGTACACCCCAACACAAATACAAGGAGGTAATCTGCCTGCAGCAATTACTTTTATTCACAGTAAACATGTTGAGGTTGATATCTGATCCATGAAGAGCGTAAATTTCACCCCAAGCCTTACGGTCTCTTGACTGAACACAACCAGCATTCATGCACATACAATATGTGTGATTTAAACTCAATGAGCTGGAAAGAACATCAATATTGTACATTTGTTCAAATTTGTACATAAACTTGTTTGATCTAGCCTTGCTGTAAAGTTTAAAGATAAACTTGAGTTCTGGTAATGCGATTGCATTGTGAAAGAAAAGGTGTGGAATGGAACAGAAAAGTTGATCATATAGCATGTAAGTAATGGTGTGTAATGCAACGTTCTGGAGTCATCAAAATCATCATAAATTTGGCAGAATCTTGGTAAAGTAACAATCACTTACACAGAAAGATGTATATGGGACAACACACACGGTGTCGGGGCTAGTACTACCCTGATTTCCTTATCTTTCTATGCTCATTACTCAGCCAGTATACATTTTCTTCCAAAATTCTTTGGCACATGACATTTATTTGTAATCTTGAACATTCAGTGTAAGTTTCGTTAGATTCTGTGAGAATTCATTTTCTTTTTTTACCAGAACTCAAGTTTATCTTTAATGGTGATGCAGACCTACATGTACCTGTACATGTGCATGTTATGATGATGAACATGATTCACAGCATTTGTATGGCGCCATATCCGTTTAAAAAAACATTAAAAGGCGCGAGCTGAGCGAGCTTCTCCAATAAAGTTATAAAAGATTAATAATAACGAGACTGCAAAAAAAACAAAACAATAATGGTTGTTTAATTTTCAATATGAGATATTTATATTTCAGTCGAAACCATACAAATTGAACAAGCCTTTAGCATGCTATCCTGAAAATACTGTGATGCTTGAGGCCACTCATCAGCACTCTCCATCGACGATGTCTAGTGAACTCTATCAGGTAGACATGGATAATTGAAAGCTACAGGAGTTTACCCACACACACACTCTTTGTGCTAATTCGCAAGGTGAGCATCTGAATTATACGGCTGGCAAAGCTAAAATTTCTCTTCAACCTAATGGAACGTGATCTGCCAAACTCGAGATCAAAACAGCTTCTTGGCACGGAGCACATGCAATATGCATGGTGGTTGGTGACAACCATAATTTTCTAGATTCCCATCCCATGATAGATTCTACATGTACATTGTATGCATAAGAGTAGAGCCATCTTGCTTGTGTAAGACAATGTAGTTGTAGTACTTCTACAAGGATAAAGGATGAAACCATATTTTCTTAAAGGTAATACAAAGTTTTGGGAAATTTTGAAAATTGGCTGGATAGTCATTCTTTACAATTTTGATATATTTGGATGCCCATGTGAATGAATTATAAGCACCAGAAAATTTAGCCCCTAAAACACTTCTGCTTTCGAGAAAAATTTAATATAAAAATTTACCGGTGCTCCCAGGAAATTTTGATAAATTTCAAATAGCGCCTACGGCCATACCATGGTAGCTGCGACCATGAAAATCTCAGAATATATAGTTGTAATATATAATCTCCAAACGGGAATAGCTAATCGGTCGATTTTAGTCAAGAAACATTTTTGTATAGCTTTATTAATATCTTGGCCTTGAGAGGGAGCTATACAACATAAAGAGTTTATTATTTAAAATTGCTAGATTTTAACCACGTCAACGAACACTGAATATCGTAGGATCACATATGCTTCCAATATGTTCATTTGAACCAAATTCATGACCCCATACCAAAACTTTGTATTTTTACCTTTAATATGCATAATACTGAAGCTCATTAGTACACCTGTAATGTTTTAAGTTATGTAAAAATAAT